CTGAAATCGTTATTGAGTGATAAGAAATGTGGTAGTTGAGTGTCCACTTTATAAGTGTTTAGAGGGTGAGAAAACGTACAAAAGGAAAATATAAGAGTGATAATGGTGAATTAATTATTAAAGTAAAAGTAAAGTAATCATTCAAAATAAAAAATAAAGAATTTAGAGGGAACGGCTACTGAAAAGGTTAAGACCATGGTAGGAAAAGTGACTGGACAATTATTTTCTGTACACAGAATTAGAGATTATGCTGACAAATCGCCAACGTCTTCGCCATGCACAAATGTCAAAACCTGATGCCCATAGTACCATTTAGCCTCGATAATCTTGGAAGACGACTCTGGTGAAGCTACGTGGCTTGAGTTCACCAAGTGCTCGACAATTGAGCTAGTACCTGTCTCGTATTGTTCTTTTCCTAATCATGCGGGATAATTTTCAGAGATACATTTGGAAAACTTGTGGGCTTTTGTGCAGCCAATGTAACTAGTGGGTGAATTTATAAACACACACTGTAGTGGCCTAAAGGGTCAGTTTATCCTTTATACATCAACTGACCATTTTTCGGCTATAGAAACTGATTCATAGCTCAGCCGTAAAGAAGACTTTTATCAGTAATCTGGATAAGCCGTGGTTTTTTAGAATATCAGCGGTGGTATAACCTTTATGTTCAACATTCATGAAAAACAGTTTCTTCGGTATCGTCTGGGTTCTTTCAGGCTTTTGTTTTTATTTCACTGGTTTCTGGATGAAACTTGGATGATAACCATTTTTCCATGAGGACTGGTCTGAGTCTCTCCAGATAACCATTGACTGTATCACTCGTACATATCCCTCTTATTCTTCAGCATAAGGAGTGTGATCAGACTTCTATTTCTTCTAGAAGAGACTCACCTATGAAAATTCATGTACTGACCATTCCATTTTGGTTTCCTGTAGACTGATCTTTGAAAAGAAACGTCTTATACCTTTCTTAGTTTAACATACAAAATATGAATTTCCGAGTTCATCTCTGATTCTGATGTGAACTCGGTAGAATAATGGCAACTGTTGAACTCCCTAGTTATCATCTCAATGTCGGCATTCTCGTCACACATGATAAACGGATACTATACACATTTGGTGAATATACATACGTCGATAAAAGAAATTATTTGTCAGTTTAAAAATTAGTTTGAATTTTATACAGTTTGAGACAGGATTCCATCACACTTTCTTTTGACAGCCGAATGTATTCAGATAACACAAATATGTGATCTCCTTGATGTTGAAAGTGGTAGTCGAGAGAGCAAGCATAAATGCGTAGAACTATCAGCCATTGAAATCGACAGGGATGAACTGACTCAACTTGTTGAACCAGATTGAAAAAAGAGATCACCACGTACGAGATGGACCTGAACTGAACGAAACGGTAGTTCGGTGTTTAGTCCACTTATACGTTGTTAGCAGTGAAGTACTCCCAGTTGATATCAGTACTGTGGAACTACTCGTCTCAACTAATCAGTAGTATATAGTTTTATTTTTTTCACTTGGTGTGCTGATTACAATTTATGATGTTAAGCAGATCACATTTTGAGATCTGAATAGTTTTGGTTTAGTGGAATCATACCACGAAGTGCGTAAATTGAAAGTGATTTTGCGTATTTCGAATCAAATAGACACATTCAAATATGCAAAACCTTATCAATCACTTGTGTTTCATAATTTTCTACGCTAGTGATATTAGTACATATCCTTGAATTGATATTAGAATTCGCTTGAAGGCTGATTCATCAGATTTTTTGAATGCTAGCACTCATTACTAGGCGTTGCCTATGTACCACCACGAAAGAACTGATAACCCCTCTGGATTTATTCTTGTCACTCAATTCTTCTCTCAGGGACTTTGTGACTAAGATGTTACGGCTCATGGCTGATTCATTGTAAGACTCCAGTAGTTACCTGACTGCCTAATATATCAGTGAGTGAAAGCTCTTTCGTGGATGATGACTAGCAGTAAAATCGTCCTATTTGGGACTCTTCGTCCGGATATACTTGCAACCTCTATTAAGTTATAAAGTTCTTACTTAGACTGAAGCCAAGCACCCATCGTTTCACATGCCGAAGAGCGTTATCGACATGGCTCACTTGAGCTACAAGAGATTGCTCTTTTGTGACTGGTGTAAGTCATTATGTGTTAAAGTTCACTTTGCGATTCACGGATGACTAATTATATTACTGAGAGTACAGGTACATCCAGCTGTCGTGTCTAGAATTACAAAAAAAATTTATCCCAGATTCCACATCAGGTCACAGTCCCTCCAAACCTCAAAATTTTCCTAATGGGGTCCGACATTTCAACAGAGACCGAGATTTTCGGTATAATATAATCAAGCATAATACAAAATGAACTTTCATCTAACATACCTCATCTTAAAACTAACAAAATAAACTTTGACTTACGATACATGCACCTACACACCAGCAAATCTCAGCTAGGGCCTGAAAATTGCGCTAAAAGAATAAGAAAGAAAAGTTATGTGAGGAGATTTGTTTGAAATGCCAGTTATTGAATCATTTATCCTTCCTCCATTCCTCACTGTACTCAACAAAAATACCGATGATTTTATGACAGCAGTGAAACATTCATCAGAAGCGTTTACTATATTGGTAGTTCATTGTGCATTCAGAAACGTATAAAAGAGTTCGTAATTGGTTACAGGATTTCATCATGAACTGACACTGGTTAGAGAACCATTGGAAAACCCACCAGGAATAGCTGGACAGTCAGCAGCTTCGTCAGTCCAGTACGGCACTCTTCGGCAGAATGCACCTACCACAGAGGGTCGGAACACACCACCTTCTATTTACAAAGCACGCAAGCTAGTAGGCTGCTCTGTTAGAGTTGGTTCAAATGAAAACCCAATCTCAGGTTCATTCAAAATCCAATGTAAAGCCTCTGACCTTCCTTCTTTGTACAGTAGCTGTACACAGGCATTGAATTCTATGTTAGTTTTTCTATGGTTCTTCATATACTTCCGGATGAATTCTGGTAGGTGGTTATTTACTGGTATTGTTTTCTTTATTTGTTTGATTTCATTATTTAAATAACGTCTGGCTTACTAGTTAGGCTCCTGGTCAAATGTATATAGGTACTAAACTGAACCTTCCTTTACGGTTTCTGCATAGCATGAATTAAAGTCTAAGTGTTTATTATTGATGACGGAGTTTTGAACCCACTTGTTGGAAACATTCAACCTCATACTTAAATTTTTCTTACGCTAACTAATTTTTTATGCTACATTACTTGTTGTGTAGTGAAGAATTCCCTGATTTACGTAGTTGCTCGACGGCATTATTGAGATGATTTTGAGTTGTTGGTATGTTATCACCGTTGAATAGCACGATGGATCTTAGCGAAAATAACTGCTTTTTCAAAAACGTCATGTAATTCTTCCCATTAATAAACTTGAACAAAACAAGAACAACAATTGTACCAGGATAATATGAGCTCAGCTTTTATTATTTCGAAGACTCTTCTCACATGGTTACAACCTGAACGATAAAAATATGAATTACATTGAAGTTTTGAACATACGTTTTCACGATCACAAGGAATAATTGTTAGGAAGTAAGAGCAACATTAATCCTGAATGATTTAGAATTAGACAATTCGAGTTGAAAACAAAAACAGAGTTGCGTATATATGTTTGAAGTTTGCACTCAAAGGTGATGATATTGCTAGTAGAATAAGATGCAGACTGAACGCTGCCCTGAAAAGAACATATCTAGCCACCAAGCTTGTATGTTTTTGTCAAACAACTAGTTGTTTGAGACAATCAAAAGTGGACAAATACCCACCTCATGTTACCTCCAACTGTGTCTACCAATTTACATGTATGTGTCAAAGCACATACATCGGAAGAACAGAGAGAAAGTTTATTGTCCGCAATTCTGAACACATACCAAAGAACCTGAGACTGAAAGGTCCACAAGTATTAAACAGTGCAATTGCGCGTCATCTATTAGACACTGGTCATAATGTAGACAACCTGAAGTCATTCAAAATAATCAACAGGCAAAAGAAATCCAACTTGCTACGCTTTGCTGAAGCAATTGCTATCAGACGACTAAAACCAAATCTATGTACGCAGAAAGAGACGGTGGTGAATCTTGCACTGCCCTAGTGACAACAAAATATACAACTTGTACGAGTCACCGTTTTTCTTGTTTAGAAAACTCTAATCTCTCACCTGAACATGACTCAACCTACCTTGTTCTTTTCTCTTCATTTTTTTCTATTGGCTATTAAGTAAAACAATTTCTTTACTTACGTTATCCACTTTTTTGTTATGCTCTTTCTAGATAAACATTGTTTCTATACACACACATATATACGCAACTCTGTTTTTGTTTTCAATCCGAATCGTCTAATTATTCTATAAATAGTCAGTGTTTGTTACTCTTAATTAGTTAAATCATTCCGGATTAATGTTGCTCTTACTTCCTAACAATTATTCCTTGTGATCGTGAAAACGTATCTGCAAATCTTTAATGTAATTCATATTTTTATCGTTCAAGTTGTACCCGGTTGAGAAGAATCTTCGAAATAATAAAAGATGAGCTCATATTATCCTGGTAAAATTGTTGTTCTTGCTCTGTTCAACTGTTATTTCGTTGTTGTCAGGTCAGTCAAGAAAGTTTCGGTTGCTTTACAACAGAAGTCGAAGAATAGCCTGTAGAGTGAGGACCACAACAAATCAGTTTTGGCCCTCAGTGTCTTCATTTTTGACATTTTTCAAAAGGTTAAGTTTAATGAATCCTATTTAATACACTTATAAACTTTCGTGGATCTTTGAAACTATACATTGAAACATCCAGGAGGTTTGGACAGAAGAACATTAAACAAGTTCAGAGGAAAAAACAACAACATGAGAAGTAGAGTTGTTTTGTCTTTTTGAGGGCTTGATTGAGTAATGTTCGAAATAAAAATTTTTTAAATTATAAAATACGTCTTCACTTACTATAGGATAGATGCCTAATGAAAGAAAAAGCAGTACTGTTCCAACCAAATCGATCATCAGTGACACGGTAAACAGTGATATTAATACTGTCTTATGAAGCCGGTGGATACTTATTCCCAGAGTAACTGCTAAGGCATTCAATACAATACAGATAATGAGCACAATATATTTGGTTTCTGGAAGTGGATAAGCGAATGCTATACAGATGGCGAAACACCATAGTAGACTCTAGTGAAAAACAAACGCAGAAATGCATTTTTCTTATTTATGTAGGAGAGTGGAATAATTATTTTTCTAAACTTTTGAAATAAAGTAAAATTATTGAAATGTCTATTTAAAAAAGAGCATGGTCAATCAAGTTTTCTTGTTGAGGCGATGATCGTTCACCTTCTCTTTATCATGATAATAATAAATAATCCATAAACGCAAAGGGAATTTACAGGTAGTTCAACACATGGTTGGCAGGAGTAAACGGAAGTCCTCACTTTATTTCGGAGAGACTCAGTTTATCAAGAATGGTTCAGTGGTTTAAAGCTTGGCAGCTACTAACTTAGTCTTTGTTCGACTACCGGCCGACGCACTGCTGAGAGTCGCTTGGTTTAGTAGCTGGTAGTATGCTCAAGAAAGAGTGTAGGTTGGGCTTGAAGCTAGAATATCCATCCCTTGAGAGAACAAAAGGTCCACTTATCGAAACTTCATATTTAGAGCCCTTTGTTGTATCCAGATTGCGAGGAAATCGGTATAGCATAATAGAAATTGAGTAAAAATTCATTTTCACAAATTGAAACTGAACGCCGCCAGAGAATGTTTAAATTCCTTTTGTTTCGTCAGTCTTCTTTATGTGGATAGAGTGTAATACTTTTTAAAACCATATAAAAATTTGATAATCCCTTGTTCATTTGGTGACCAGTGTTTCATTGTACAAAGAAAATATCTTTCATGTCACCATTTGCTATAATAATAATAATATCAACGAACATTTTTTTCAAATGTTGGTCGACAGAGATTCAACTAGTTACAGGCTGATCACGAGCTGATACCGTTCAGAGTACCACTGGAAAATTAGGAAGTATTGGATGGCAGTTAGGACTGTTCAGCAGTACTCACTCACATAGGACCTTCCGTTTACAAGGCAAGCTTATAGACGACGCAGCTATTCAAACGGAATCAAGTGACTTATCAACTTCAACCTCTACAGATTCGTGATCTAAGCGCAACCACTAACTAATGTCGTCGGCGAGTAACTGTTCTCTTTACTGTCTTGCTGAAGTCTCCTGGTCACGCCTTCTCAATAGAGCTCCTGCATAAATCTTGATGCTATTTCATGATCAAGCCTGCTACCAAACAAGTTCCTGAAAACAAACACTTCAAAATTAATCTGATACTCACCAGTAGATTGCTCTATACAGGAAATTACCTGGAGTTCTAGTGCGATGTCATAAACAGAAGGGTTCACCAAGTCAGACAGATGACGAGTTATTCTGAAGTTCTGTGCATCGGTTGTTCTCCTTCACTAAATTTTAGTGTTTTCTTGTATTTTCTGTGATCGAAATGCGATTTGTTTGCACTCTGTCGGCCGCTTAATAAACGCTCAAACGTTGAGAATAGGCATTTATAAATAAATACAGAAATGTTTCAGTCTGAATGAATCCCAACTTTTACAGACTGCCAATGTAAAATGCTACAATAAATACTTAATACTTTGAAGACGCATGTCTGAATAATAATTTCAACTATTTATGGTATACAGAATTGGCGCATCACAAAAAGTATCGTCAACAGGCTTCTTCAGACTTGCAATCAATAGCTGCCTTCGCTGGATCCATATTGAAGAACACACAGTAATAACGGATCAGCGATAAGGAGGTACATGGACCAACCAAAAAAGAACTTGTTGCCGAAAAATTATGCAGAAAAGAATGGAAATGACCACTTTTGAATGTAATCGCACAGTAGACACCCCCAAGTGGAACCCGAATTAAAAGACGAGTAGTTGGTCACATGGAGGTAGCATAATAGGAAATCATGTGAGGTGGAAATGAGAGCCAGTGGCTAATCGTGGAGCCAGCTGAAAAGGCTTAAGAGAACAGAATGAAATGATAATGTGCTGTTGAAGACCTATGCCCTGATGATTGGAATGAATGCCTGTGATAAGTGATATAAGACACACTTATACTGGATGCAAGAATTATTAAACTGGTCAATATAAATACAGTGAACGTTACAAGTACAAATAGGTCTTTCAAAGATACAAAAAATTGACTTACTGTAATAGTGATTAAAGCAGTCATAGTTTTCTTATATTTCCACAGAATTTTACTGAACATCATGATCAAAATTAGTATGATACTGATAATTCTGAAATACACAGGGATAGAGAAAATAAAACAAGCATTTAGCATTTCAATCTTTCATATTTCATAAACACGGGATTTGTAAAAATAATCTGAACCAAGTTGGCAAGACATTTCAAAGTGTACAGTAGTGTTTATATTGCATTCACTTTGTGGCCGTAAGTAAAATGCATCGTTTATTTATTATCTCGAGTTTTTTTAATCTTTAACCTTCCCAGTGGAACACAGGGCTTCAAGTTAGAGGCTTGAAGTTTCGGTAGCAGTGCACTTTATTTTTACTGGATGAGGTTGTTAGCCTCATGCCCTGTCTTCCCTCTCTATCAGTTTCATTACTAGCTTAGCGTCGGTGGACAGGGACTGAACCCCCTATAACATGAGGTGTGGTTGGTGAGCATTCAAGCACTGTGCCACCAACGCACTATTATCTCAAGTAACGTATGCATCTTAGTAGAGTTTACAAAGTTAACTAGAGTAGTTTGAGGTTACAGTAGTGACCTCAGAAGGTTTGGTCAGAGTCAGTGCCACATTATGTAACTTCTAGAATGACGTAAACTGTCTTAGATACTTGAATGTAATTCAAAAAGAAACAAAATGTGTTTGCCAGGTGGAGAGATGCATTACATCTGAAATAGACTTGACTTGAAAAAACAAACAAATATGAGAGCCGATATGTGAAGTATTTCCATCTGGTCTACAAGAAATCATTGAACACACACAGTGTGAGTTTTACAAAAACGGTTCCAAGCACCCAATGGACTGAATAATAATTTTATTGGTATTTACAAAGCATACAAGAATCTGCTTGAAATATGAGCATATAATACATTCTTCTAACTAAAGAGGAAGTGTCAGTCCACATTGAAAAGCATTAACTCTGCATTAGTTTAGTCAATGTATTTTCCGTGGTTTACTTAGGAAGCGTTTTACATGTTGACACTGGCGATTTTCTTAGAACGCGGTCAACATCATCTCTCTCTCTACAGTTGTTGAATATACTTCAATTATTTCAATTATATGTTAAGTTGTCAAAGTTATAAACTCGTTGTCTTCTGTGTTTTCTCGAATTACGTGATTAACACATAATTCTCTAAATCGTAAAATATAGGCGAAATATTTTCCTCATTACATCCGTTCGAAGTGGAACAACGTAGCCCACACTAGGTGGCTTCAGCAGGGCTTCTAGCTTCACAACCAATCTCCTCTCTTCTTCCGACTTACTGTCGGCCGGTTAACTGAGCGAGGTTCGGTAGAACGTCAAACGAGAGTCAAACCTTAAGTTCCTTCTCTCGCCAGCACCGTGAATTGAAATCAGGTCGCCTGAGGAAAATGCAAGAACCTTAATCACCTAAGGTACACAGATTCATTTGAAAGTGATGTTCTTCCAGAATGTATATACATGTATTTTCTTTTCAACTTTCCAGCTTATTTTGATATTTTTGAATCAGTTGTTGGATGTGACTTGTTTAATATTTCTAACACTACTGAGTGTTTGAATGCGACACAGGTTTAGAAAACCATGACTAAGCATTCTGCTCTAAGTGAAACCAGATTCATTTGTTTTGTGATTTAATTTTGTAAACTGTCGTTTTATGGTCTTGGAGTTGTAGCACGTTTTTAGTCACTGACCAACTATATCTTCTTTAGTGGTTGTCACATGCCGTTTTATCTCAGTAGATACGCTGTAGTAATGAAGCTAAATCTGAGAGTGAGGTCAATATTTCATACCGCCCCCTGTTTATGAGTTAAGGATGTCCCTAAAAAGTGTCTTTTTATAATTTTATCCACCATCTCGGAATCAAATTCAAACTTTGCGCCGAAGTATTCCTGGGTGAATTTAAACAGTTATCTGAATCATTTTCAATTCCTGCTGGTCTTATTATTAAGGTTAATTTATTATCCGGTGATTCTTTCTCGGTGATTCATGTCATCTTGTATAACAAAACTGAAAACTGAAATCACTGACATATTCCAGTTTAATTCTATGATGAAAGCCTATTCTTTCCAAAAATGAAGTTATTCTTCTCTGTTAGACAGCAAACAATATTCAGCTGCGTCATGAGAAAACGTTTAATACAAATGACACACTGATCCCGAAATCGGCATCAGACTTACATTAATACCAATGCAACTGAGACATGTACTCCGAACGCAGGAAATACTATTACGTAGCCAGGATCACTACCATTGGATTTAAGTGATTGGAAAATAGCAGTCAATTTAGTTGCTTCCATTGAAAATGTTTTATCTGGTAAATTTTTGCCCAAAAAAGTTATGAAATGAGGAGAATGATTTGAACGTGGGACTTTTTAAAAGAAAATTTAAATGAAGGGATTTCAAAAACTATTTGATCCTGCATGATAATCCAGAGTTCAGACTCTGTCGACTAACAACCTCCATTCTCTTTATTTCGTGTCATAACGAAACGAATTTCACAAGAAAATTAACTGAAGATTTTACAGAATGAAGGTTTTATGATTTCCAGGAACAATAACTAGTCTGTACTCAAACCTACCAGTAATACCGACAATAATAAACAAGTACTCTATAAAAGAAATTTGAAAATCCTGTACCGTTTGATAAAGATCAGTATTTCATGAATTATCTCTACTGTTGTAAAAATATCACTTAAAGGTGGGAGAATTCGGCATTATCAGTCTACTTGGGTTCTGTGCTAGTCTGTGGTTAGCCCATAGATCTTTAGATGAATTCGTACAAACAATTCGAATTCAAGAAATAAATATGTTTGCCCTTAGTTGTTGAATTTTGTACTTTGATCATTAATTTAGATATCTGTGAACACGTATGTTCATTTCAGGATTTCATTATGAGGTGACATTTTTTTTTGATTTACAGCTTGATTCCACACCGTATTTT